AAATGTTTTATACTTTCCTACCAAACATTGGATCCATATTTAATTTGTACAACTAATGTTTAACACATATTTATTGTGTTAATAGTTGTTCCATATATGCTCAACAAGTATTTTTACTTTTTATTTTTTATGGCCCTTCTCCTAAAAGATGGATGGAGAAGTAACTCCTCAAGGATCTTATTCTGGGTCCCTATAACGGTTTAATTGAAAGTCAAATGCCTCCAAAATATAACTCCACACTCTGCACGTGAAGTCATATCTTCAAAGGATATGCCCAACACTTCTAAGTTAGACGAAGTCTGTGCTTCTTATTAACCAATGATCTTATTAGACCTTGGTATGCGAGGTCTAATAATTTATGTTCTGAAAGCTTAGTTTCTCACTAGAAAACTAAATTATTTAGTGATGATGCTCTAGGTCACATAATATTTTTCAGTTATGAATCTCTAGAAGTGTATGGAGCTATTTTTGTGAACCAAAGTTAGCAACCTTTGAGGTGCAAAATGAAAACTTATAATGCCAGAAATCATGTCTGTCATGTCCTTTTAGACACATGCATTTATTCTTTTTATTCATTTTCTGACTTATGTTTTATTGAATGTTTAATTTGCGTTTTTGTTCTTCTCTTTCAGAACGAAGTTCTGCTACGGTGCCTCCAACGATATGTGGTGTGAAGAAACAAGCATTAGCTACTTGTTTACCTTCAATGCCAGTAGACCCAGTACAAACATTAAAAAAGGCGAAGGTGAAGGTTACAGATATACCTGCTAAAGCTTCTTCCGTGTCAAGGCATGGTTTTCCTGTCACAAAAACAGGTAAGAGAGAAGAGCTTTGCAATCTTAATGAAACTCTTAAATTGTGTTATTATTATGGTATCCAATCCCAAGCCAATCAATATAGCTCTTTCCCTTAGTTTTGGTTTCCATCTCTAGTTGAATGTTATTGTTTCTTTATTTTTATTGCCAATATTAATTACAACACAGGAAAAGAAGTTCCTTCTCCTTCCACTAAGTTAGAGGATATGCAAAAACAAAGGAAGAATGCTTCGTTGACCCAGGAAATACATGCATGCCGTGGCAACAAAGGAAAAGAAGTTCCTTCACCTCTCACTAAGTTGGACGATACGCAAAAACAAATGAAGTATGCTTTGATGACACAGGAAATACATGCTTACCGTGACTGCCTCCCATCATTACACGCCTCTTGGAAGTGAGTCCCTTCCTCTATGGTTCGCTTCTTTGTTTCAATTTTTAGAATCGATAAACCCTGTTAAAAAACTTAAGAGATGCATACAATTGAAAATGTAGTAATTTTGTATCTAATTAATCTATTTTTTATAAAAATTATGCTTTCTCCAATTCCTTGCAGAATTTATGGATAATTTATTGGATGATTTATGGCAGTGTTTTACCTACTTGGCTCGAATAAGTTGGTCATTTAAGTTTCTTATTTGTTAAATATCATGTGCCACTGCTGTTGTTGTGATTTCTAAGTATATGCCAAGTGCATATGTTATATTGTGCTTCTCGCTGCATATCGTATTGGATGAAAATGGACGATGAATAGTTGTATGAGTTCACATGAAAATTTGCCTTCTCATCGAACATTCTTTTAAGATCAGAAGAAGACCATTTTTCTTCTTTCTTTCTTTCTTTCTTTCTTTTGGGGTTGGGTATATATTTACCGAAAGCAGATTTAGCTTTTGTAGAATAGGTTTTTATGATCTAACAATTTAGTATTTTTTGTATGATAAGTGAAGCTCTGACCAATTCTTTTTCTATGTAATCTATGCTTCCAGTTCTTGCGTGTATATTTAGTGGATCGCATCTCATTTTCTCAAAATTGTCCTTTTTTATGGAGTTTTTAAAGTTTAGTACATGGTGCTTCGGCAGTGACTGTTGATGGTTGAGTACTTCATATCCATTGTTGCAACATTTCTGACATTATATATATTTGATTCGCTGAAAATTAAAATTATTTACTACTGCCAGAAATTTCTATTCTTTAGGGGAGGCTTCCAATTTATTGATACACGTATGGGCGGTGAATTTTATGATGGATTCCTGGCAAAGCCTCCATGTGTGGTACATGGTAGAGCTTATGAATTGTCGAGGAAGATTCCTCCCATTCTTCAAGTGAAGCTTCTTAGTCGTTCTGATATTTGGGATGAGCTGTTTCACGATGAATGTCCGGATCTTGCTGATATTGCTTTGTACTTCTTTCCCGCCGACAATTTTGAAAGGTCTGTTATGATTTCGGATTGAATGGTTACAATTTTTGTTGTTGTATAGCCGTGTAAAGCAAATGTTGATTAAAGCGTAGGTCCAGAAAGAACAACTCTTACCTGTTTGAACTTATGGAGAGAGAAGATCTATTGATAAGAAGTCTTATTGACGGTGCTGAGTTGGTCGTATTTACTTATAGACAGCTGGATCTCCACTCACAGCGTAAAGCTCTTACATTCATTATTTGGGCATTCTTTAGTGTAATACTTAAGTCTCACGTTGGTTTGAATGTCGATACTGTTCTTCCTATTTATATGTTCTAGTGGTCACAACTGTATTTTGCATATAGTGGCCTCCTCCTAGTAGTGAATATACTAATACGTTTACGTTTACGTTAAGCTTTAAAAACTTGTCTGTTAAAGTTGACAAATGATGAAGTCCAAATTAAGCTCCATTCGAGCATGTATTCTCGTACTGCTCGTAGCAGTTAGACATAAACTTTAACCACGCTTTATAACATATGTGCAACTCTTTCTGCAGATCTTAATATGCTAAGTGCTAAATGCCTCCTTTTCGGAGTCTTCCGTGCTATCAAGAAAGACAAGTCTCTTGTTCCTATGTTAGAATATGGTTCTGCAGTTTCTTCTGTAGAAAGTGAGTCCAAAGTTCCCCTGCTGGAATTCACGCCTAAAGGACATGGAAAGCACGATGAAGACAATGCTGTTAAAAGGGTAATTGACATAACGGGTGGAAACACTACTGGAAAGTCTCCAACTGCAAAGGATGTAGACTCTACCATTCGGCGATTACTATTAGAATTTGGGTCACAAAAACCCAGGGAGTCCGATGTCAATGCATTAACTACGATTGCTCAAATAAAAGATCAGGTAGAAATATCTCATCCTAGCTACCGAACCAAGCCTTTCCCTCCTGGTTTTCATTTGCTTGTTGCCGTTCATATAAAAAAAGGAGGTGGAGAACCAAGCATTTCTTTAGTTTGTTTATGATGATGCAAAAATCTTGTCTGATCCCTCTCTTTTTGTCATTGTGCTAACCATATGATAGGAACCTGCTCCAATCGCAGCCACTGGCTTGTATTCTCTTTCCCAGTCAAAAGTAAAGATTGAACCTATACCAGTTATTAAAGAGGAAGAAAGTGACAGAAAATGCTTGGAAACGGAGCATTGCTCGAGAATGGCGCCAACATTTAGTATTGATGGCTCTCAAAACAGAACTGGCTTAACTGACCAAGATGTTCCCAAGAGAGTTGCAGACAAGTATCTCCAAATCTTTAATGCAGGGATTAAAAAGGAGCGTCGTTAGTTCTGAGGTGAATGAAGCAACTTGGCTGTTTAAGCCATTCAAGGTTTGCTTTTCCAGTACGTAGATATCTACACTTATTTGAGTTAGCATGTCAAATATTACAGTTCAAGGCTATAACATAGTTTTTTTGTTCTTCTTTTTGGTATATACAAACAGTTTGAATTGAACTTACCCTGTGTTAGTTCTTCTGTTGAAGACCAACAAATGTGCCGTACTCATATTCACCGACCACTGGAAGTGGAGGTTCTTTGGCAAACTTCATGTGTAGTGAAAACAACTTTGTGAAGGTTTTACTCCGAATTTAACGTGTAGCTTAGCTTCTGTTTACAGTTCTATCTTTGCTCGGAGGTTAGGATTATTAGTAGGTTGATTCAGAAGTTTAACAACTTTTGTTTCTAAGTTTTTTAAGGGCGATTTGGCACCTTGGTTTGCTTTGGGGTGATTTTGAGTTCCAAATCCTAAACTACGTTTGGCTCGATGCAAGTAATCAATATATTGGACTCTGGAAACATGGCCGCATGAGTTATTGATGGAAGTCGCTTGCTGCTGCCTGCCCCTCATTGCTGCAATTTTCGTTTTTACTTTCCTCCTCTATTTTGTGCCTACCATTTACTTGATAATATTACTATTTCACAAGTAAGAAATTTAGTTTTTCCGTTTTTTTATTTTTTAAATTTCAAATATAGGTTTTTTATTTCCATATTTCTTGCCAGTCATTCGGAAGTCCGAACACTTGCACCCTCTCTTCTGTCTGCAGTTGCTAGTACAGAAGTAACCCGATTTGCCAAGTTGGAACAAACAAACTAGCTCTGCTCTTCAAACACCAATTTCTTATTCATAATCTTCAAGACAAACTTTCTATGAATTTTATTTCGAAAGAGAAGCGAAACACCCCTTCAATATTTAGGTGTTTAGAAAATTTAAAATTTAAAATATTTATTTATTTATTTATTTATTTATTTATTTATTTGATGTAAATATAAATTTTATTAGATCAAAGTTTTGTGGCTAAATTTTTTAAATTTTATTAGTGTTGTATACAATTACATGTGGGTATAAATATTAAAGGATCGGTTTCTCTCTTTCTAACTTAATATTTTAATTCTTTTTAAAGACTAATTGGAAAAATACCTTACCAACAATATCAAAATTTAATAATTTATAATTCTAAAATTAAAAATTAAAAAGAATTAAAGAACTTTGGCCATGGTAAATAATTGAGCACTAAAAATTGTCCACCAAAAACTCAGAAATTTTGTAAAAATTGGGAATTTAAAAAAAAAAAAAAAGAGAAAATGGTTCAATGGAATACAAATCTCCAAAATACAGGACATCGCTCAATAACTACAAGAAGGCCATCCCTACAATTTTGTTAATGATTGTGTCATATTTCTGAAACTTTAATGGGGGTATTTTGGGTAAAGAAGAATGCATATGATACATTTACAAAAACTGTAAATATTGACCTCGCCTCCGCTCGATGCGAAAAACTCTCAAAACTGAGTGAGAAGCGTTTGAGTTCGCTGCTATTGAAAAGAAGAAGAAACCCTTTCGTCGGCCTTACCTTTTCTTTTTCCTCAACTTCCATTTCCGATCTCGCTTTAGGAAGAAATGGCCATGGCAGCTCTAAGACGTGAGGGGAGGCGGTTCGCTACCGTGATCTCTTCTCAACCAATCACCGCTCTCCGGTCTTCCCTCGTTTGCGAGTATTCACTTTTACCCTAATTCTATTTTGCCCTACTGCGTTTATCTGTGCGACGGATTCTTCGTGATTAGGATGTTTTTTTCTGGACCCAAAAAGTTCCTTCATTTGATCGATGAAATCCTGAAGTAATTGCTATTTTATTTTCATAAATTAAGGGTTACCTCTCTTTTGTTAATTTTTGTTGTACGTATCTGTCTGAACCCTTTATGTTAAGGTTGGGCAGCGTCTAATGCTTTACTAATTTTTCTGAAATATGCCGTGGTTGATTTTTTCTTTGAAAAATACAATGATCTTCCATTAATAAAGATGCGTGTAAGTATAACGTTTTTTTTGTTGGAGAGCTTATGGCGGTTTTTTAGATCTTTAGAGAGCCATACTACACTGGGTTTTCTGGTTAGCTTATCATTAAATATGAATATCTGCCGAAGCTCTCTCTGCACATAAATCACTAATCCTGAATATGTGTTTTTTGTGAAGGGAACAAGCTCCTCTTGGTGTGCGCTCTATCTCCACTCAAGTGGGTAGGTGCTATTTACTCTGGATCTGCTATTTCTTTTTATATATATTATTTTATGTTTTTTTTTTTGTTAAAAACGTTGCTTCCTGTTAATCAACTGGCATTTCTTCGACAATTATTCTGTTGTTTTATCATTCTTACTTATTGATGATTTACTATCATTTTTTTAACATGTGATTACAGTTAGAAATCGAATGAAGAGTGTGAAAAATATCCAGAAAATTACAAAGGCAATGAAGATGGTTGCAGCCTCAAAGCTTCGGGCAATTCAAGTGCGTGCTGAAAATTCTCGTGGCCTTTGGCAACCCTTTACTGCACTTCTTGGGGATATTCCAAGTATGTATATATCATATGTTTCCTACTTTATATTGACACATTAATTGCTTTTTTTTACTTATTTTGTATTTTCCATGTGTATTATGTCAAAGTACACATCATACTCATGGTTTATTTATTGTTGGAAACATAGGTGTTGATGTAAAGAAGAATGTCATTGTTACCATTTCTTCTGACAAAGGTCTTTGTGGTGGAATTAATTCTACCTCTGTCAAGATAAGCAAGGCTCTGCGCAAGATAAATTCTGGTATTACTTGCAAAAATAATTTTTTATCCTATCCTTCTTTTCAGTGTGAGACTACAGTAAATAAGATACTAATTTTGTAATTACTCTGCTCATAGGTCCTGAACAGGAAACAAAATATGCTATATTGGGAGAGAAGGCAAAGGCTCAGTTAGTACGTGACTCCAAGAAGGACATAGAAGTCATCATCACTGAGCTGCAGAAGAATCCTTTAAATTATACTCAAGTTAGTTAACCATACCACATAATTCATCACAGATAATATCTTCATTGTTCGTTCATGAGTATATGTTTCTGTCTATTTGCCTATGCTTCCATATGTAGGGGCTTCTACCGTAGATTTGAAGTTTTCATATTAGTGTAGGATAAGTAACAATAGATAAGGCCATGAGTATGATCCATTGTTGCTGAAAATGATGTTTCCAAAGTTTTGAGTGAATTTCTTTTTTGTTTCCAAAAGTGCACTTCTTGTTTTTACTGGCTTGGTAAAATCTTCAAACTTTTGTGTGATGGGATACCTTCCTTGACATTTTGAAATGCCCATTTCTTACTGTCCTTTTTGCACTTTTAGGTCTCTGTTTTAGCTGATGATATTCTAAAGAACGTAGAATATGATGCTCTGAGGATTGTTTTCAACAAGTTCCAGTCAGTTGTCTCATTTCTGCCTACAGTATCTACCGTGCTGTCCCCTGAGGTAATAAGAATACTGGAGTTTTTTACATACTGACCTTTTCTTCCCCCCCTCTTAAATTTCTTGCCCTTTGCCGCCTTTGTGAATATCGTGCGTTCTGCATTTCAGATTGTTGAAAGGGAGGCAGAATCTGGGGGGAGGCTTGGTGACCTGGATTTATATGAGATTGAAGGTGGCGAGACAAAGTCTGAGGTTCTCCAAAACCTAGCAGAATTCCAGTTTTCTTGTGTAAGCTCACCCTTACAGCCTCTTATATTTTTGTAACGAGGCATTGGTTTATTGTTCAAATCATCATGGTTATTTGCTAAATCAAATCTGCAGGTTAGAAATTTTATTTTTTTAATCCGTAGGAAGTTTCATGCGGTTCAAATTCAGGATTAATTAATACACAGAAACACTGTGATTTTGAAGATATGAGTCAGTTGGCTTTTTCATTCCTCCGTTTTTCTTAGGTCTCACTGTATTGAAATTATCATTGCCATTTACTGGTTTTTGATAATTTTAGGTGAGCCAATTCTTAGGCAAAACATTTCCTTATAAATGCTGACATTAATCAGATCACCATGACTTAATAGTAGTTTCTTGAGGATGAACAAGTGATGAAGTAATTTTGGTATATGGTTCTCGCCCATATGATTGTTGGTCTAGGATGCTGCAAAATTACATGAGAATCAATTCAAAGAAGAGAAGAACTAGATACATTATAGAAAAATGAGTTCCTTTCATTAAAAAAAAAAAAAAAATTCTATGCAATAATGTTTATTTTCTTCTTTATTTTGTATCTCTTATATTAACTTATGGCAGGGACATCTCACTGCTGCCATTTCCCATTTCATTGACCATTTATGTAACTACTGAAAATTATATACATGCTCAACAGGTACTGTTCAACGCCGTATTGGAAAATGCTTGCAGTGAACAAGGTGCAAGGATGTCTGCAATGGACAGCTCAAGCAGAAATGCTGGGGACATGCTTGATCGCCTCACATTAACTTATAACAGGTCTCTTATAACTCTTTAACTTATCCGACTATCTTTTTTTTTTCTCATCTCACTTGAATCAATTATAGAAACTTACTCATTTCCGTGTTATTTATTTGTTTGTTTTCTGTAAAACTGAACTTCATTTGTTACTTTGTGATAGAACTCGGCAAGCATCTATCACCACCGAGTTGATTGAAATTATATCTGGAGCTTCAGCATTGGAGGGCTAGTTCCTACCTAGATCTTCTGCTGGTTCACCCAATGGTTGGTGAACTAAGATCTTGAGGCGATATTTGATTATCACGACGTTGCCTTTTGAGCTTTTTTGTAATAATACACCCAGTTCCAATTCCATCCTGGGAACCAAGTTTGTTTAGATATCAATTGATTTTCTCTTAAGCTCCAATGCTTGAATTTGCTTTGTTTTCTGAGAAACCTCGTGATTTTCAGTATGATATTTTATGTACGTACGCATGGGATAATTCGCTGCAATAACTCAGGTTTGGGTAAAGGGAAATTGATTCGTAAATGTTCTTTTGACATTGCTTTATGCCACATTTTGGTAGAAATTTTGGCGTCTCTACAGAAAGACCACTTTCTAAATCATCAGATTCAAATGATTGGTTTAGAAATAAATCTATTAGATAGAATCATTGAATTTGAATGCTAAACTAAATTGAATGTGATGCTGGATGAGGCCCTTGACGTTTAGTTCGAAATTGTTTCCGGATTGACCAGTCCTGGCCAGATATATATTGCTGCAAACACGACACGTGCGAAATGCTAGCGCCTTGCATGTTCAAACAAACTTCATAGCACCTCAAAATAGTTTGGACCTCGATCAAAAAGACAATGGAGATAATTAGTGGACGGCAAAAAAGAAAACCATAAACTCAACCAGAATAAATACAGCCATATGATAATAGTGGGTATATTCATTGCTGTTTGAGCATTTTGTTCTTCATGGAGCAAGTGGTTTTCCCATTAGATTGTTAAGCTATTTTCTCTCAAAAAAGAGGTGAGTCTTCATAAACTGATTTTGGGTCATTTTTGCAGTGGATTTCTCCATCTGAGATTGGAGGAAAGAAGAAGAAAAAAAGAAAGAACAGAAAACTTCAATGGATTTGTGGATTGTTGCAGCAGCTACTGGTGCTGGATACGTAGCTAAGTACTGGAAGAATCAATCAAAGGATGGGGATTGTTCTTTATCACAGTTATCCTTTGGGGATTCCAATTTGGCGAGTCCTCAATACTCATATCATTTGCTTAGCAAATTTTCACAAAGGAAGAAACGATATGAAGATGTTTTTGGGCATGGAGGAATGGAAGGAACATCTTCAGATCAGAACCCATCAGACATTGCTTCAGTTGCAGAGCTGGCCTGCATAAGTGGAGGATTTGAAATTGGAAAGCTCGGACTTTTTGGGAGTCACCAAGATTCCAATGTGTTCTCTACACCAAATATGACTTTGAACTCTGAAGAACGGGTCGGGGAAAGCAGCAAAAGCAACACGATGGCTAATAACATTGAAATCTTAGTTTGCAATTCTTCTGGAAGGACAGCCTCTTCAAGAAACAGAAGCACAGCTAAAGGTAGATACTTGCATGGGGATCTTATCAAACCTCTGACTTATGAAGAAGATTGCCTTCCAGCCCATCAGAGTTCTTTGAGTCCATGCATTGCTGTGGAACTGGAGGAACATAAGCTACCCAAGGGATCACATTTTGATGCTGATGAAAGTGTATGTGCGGTTTCTCAACTGCCATTTGGGCCTCTGTCTGATAAAGTAAGTAATAAGAAGACAGGAAAGGAATGGGAAAGAAAGTCGAGAAGTTCCAACAAAATGGCCAACAGGGAACACTTCGATTCTAAAGGTGTAGTAGCCATTTTTCAAACTCGTCATTCATCGATAATATGTCTTAAATGGATTTTTAGCTTCGAATTGGTACTAGTTTGCATCATATTTTCACCAAATGAATCGACTTTAATGATTGGTCCGGACCACCCAAGCCCACCGTTGGCAGATATTGTTCACTTTGACTTGTTACGTATCGACGTCAGTGTTTTAAAACGTGTCTGATAGGGAGAAGTTTCCACACCCTTATAAAAAAAGTTTTGTTCCTCTCTTCAACCGTTGTGGGATCTCACAATCCACCCCCTTTCGGGGTCAGCGCCCTCGCTGGCACTCATTCCCCTTATCAACCGGGGCAGGATCTCACGTTAGATTACTAACTTATGCTTATTGCTTATGTTTTCAGGTGGCCCGGATAAATCGTTGGTATTATATCTTGGATTTTTCATTGGCATAATCTATTCTTTCATATCCAATAAGAGGGAAGTTCATAAGTTGAAAGAATTGTTAAAGCAAACCGAGAGTTTGGTTGAAGATCTTCAAGAGGAACTTGAAATGAAGGACTCATTAACGCTTAAGGAGCTCAGTAATGACACTTATAGTAATGGCTTCTCTGAGAAAACAGTGGATGAATCTTCTCCAAAACATGTCATGGATTACACAGTAAACTTCAATGCTGAAGAGCTATACAAGCATATGGCAGAGCAAAGTTCTGAATCAATCCACAGAATTGAGGCCGAACTGGAAGCGGAACTCGAGAGGTTAGGATTAAATATAAGCACCGAAGGCACAGAGAGCTATCCCGACGATGACGATGAGGTAACGGGGCCCCAATTTGTTAGCATTCTGATATGGTTAGTTGAGTCATGAGTTTCATATATTAGAATCACAGATCAAATGATTATGTGCAGCTTGGCCCAGAATTTGAAGAAGATTTTGCAAAAGGTGAGTTGAGGAATGACATGTTGAGTGGAGAAAATTGTGGGTGGAGCAAGGCTAATAAAGAAGCATGCGACTCAACCGTTCACTCTGGAAACTATACAGTGTCACCAAGGGAACTCAGCTTGCGTTTGCACGATGTTATTCAGTCGAGACTTGAAGCACGTATCAAGGAGCTTGAAAATGCCCTTCAAAATAACCACAAGAAGCAGCAGCTTCTTAATACAGAAGACAAGAGTTCTTGGCTTGAATAAGCAAATTGTGAATCTAATGATAATGATAGTTTTCTGTAACAGCTGAATCTGTAACCGTTCAAGTCCATTGCTAACAAATATTATTCGCCTGCCTCTATGGCATTGATTTCCTTCTCAACTGGTACATTTCTAAAAATGAATTTTCAACATTTATAATAACTACTAAAGCAAAATATTGGAAAAGAAATAATAGAAAATGAAAAAAAAATTGACAAATAATGCAATTCATACTCATTTATGCAAGGGCACAAGAATTCTTCACGGCGGAGGCATTCATTCTCATTCCCAGATTAGAGTAAATTTAACCAACAAAACTTGGGGTTTGAATTACGACTAGTTCTCCATTTAAAACGTCAAAACAGACGAACGACATTCTTAAAAAGATTAAAAAAACGAAAGAAAAAAAAACAACAACGCAAGGCTTATAATTCGGTTACAAGGAGACATAAGACGTTACACTAGGAGCAATTTGTTTCCAAATGAATCAAGCAGTTTCTCCCCCCAGTCCCTTATCAGTCATTGTAACCACCTCCTCCCTGGTATGAACTGGAGCGATTATAGCCGGAACTGCCGCCGTCATAACCACCAGCACCACGAGACCTTTCAGTCGCGAAGTTCACTCTAATGTTACGGCCATGGAGATCCTGATTACAAAAAATGAACAATGTAAGAGAAAACAGTAAAGATATTATTAACCCACAACAGAATCAACTGGAACTGGTGGTTTAAATATCACAAAAGCCCCCCAATATAAATTTGCATTCTTAATACGAATGTTTACCTGTCCATCCAGCGCTTGAATGGCACTGGAAGCCTCCTCGTTCGCGGTGAAGGTAACAAACCCAAAACCTCTGGATCTACCAGTATCACGATCAGTTATCACTCTCGCTAAGACAAAGGAAGACATACACAAAAATCAGATTCATTCACCAGCAAGAGGAAGTGCCCCCGAATATTACTAATCTCACAGCAAGTTTAAATATAATTCAATTTTTCGAATACAGATGATGAGCAGCAGTGCGTATGTACCCTAGCAAACAAAAGCTTTTTTTACTCAATAATGCTTTATTAGATAAGTTTCCTGCACACCTTCAACTACTTCCCCATACTTGTCGAACGCTTCCTTCAGACTCTGGTCATCAGTACCATAAGAAAGGCCTGCACAACAAAGCAACGGATCTCAGGGAAAGTCTCGATAGACCACCAAGGTGTAAGAAAGAACAGAAGAACGGGAATTCTGGCTTACCTCCAACAAAAACTTTCGAACTTGACATTAATCTAATACTTTGAAAGATAGACAGTTTGGAAGGTTGCAAATCCGAACGGATCAATGATGCAGAACTCTTGCTAAATATCTTTCCAACTTTACCAAGAAAAGCCATGTCGACGACCTGAAACGAGTATTAACCCAAATAAATAAATAAAATCCAGAGGGAACAAAAGGTAGTTGTGCTGCAAGATAACACTATGCTATAAATATTTTGAAGTTTCAATGTACATCGACTCCATAATCGAAAAGAAAGCTTTAGGTCTATATCAAATTCAAACAGTCTCAACCAGCGCAAAAGAACACTGGATCACAATCAGAATCAGAATCATTCTTAAGCAGAACATGTATTATACCCGGAACATTAAAGAAGTCTTACATTTCGAAATCGAAAAGACACAACACAAAAGAAAAATGAAAGAAACGCTTCCAATCACATAATATCTAAGTTGAGTGAGGAGAACAATCCTTGCATTTCTTCAACTGAACTCATAAAAAATCACCACAGAAAGACAAAAGATCTAAAAACAAAACACAATCAGTCAAAACCTAGAACAAAAAGTAAAAAAGATACAGAAACATGAGAATGAAGATGAACACCATTACAAAACAACGAAAGGAAAGGAACAAGAAATCGGACAGGAAGATGGAACCTTTGCTGGCTCTCTTAGCTTCTTTCACAGTCGAGCTTAAACCCTAGGCCTTCAATTCGAGCGGGGTTTTATGAGAGCCGAATCGTTGGAAGAGCGATTTAAGTAGAAGCTAAAGCTTGTGTATGAAGCGTTGGATAATGAAAGGGAGAATCGAGGCCGTAGGATGAGAAAGATGTTGGTGGGGGCTTTGAACCCTAAACCTAAAAGTTATGTAAAATTACTATCGTACCCTTGGAAACTCTTCCCGTTCATATTTGCCCCCTTTCTCTCGAATGTCCTTCCATTTGTACCCTTTTACGCCCTTTTTAAAATAGATTTCAATTATATTATTAAATATCTAAAAATTTCATTTTAACCATTAACTTTAGAATTATCATTAAATATTAAATTAAAATAATTTATTTTTTGTCAGAATTTCAAAATTCAAGAATTAAATTGAAAAAATTTCATAATCGAGAGGTATAATTAAATCGTAACTCAACTCCACCTATTATTTATTATTGTAAAATTTAAATCGTTTCAATTTTTAATTAAATGTAATTTTGTTTTAAAATAATAAATCTTTTAAATCTTGGAAGCTCATAAATGCTTTGCCCAGCTCATAAAGTGGGTAGACTGTGTTCTCCAATTAAATTATAAGAATTGACGCGAAATGTCAACAAGTCAATGCGACGAGAGAGATGATCATGGAAGTTACAGGGAAATCTAGTTTCAATTTCGGAGCTTGCGGTTTTCGTGTTCAATTTCTCTCTATAATTCATCACCGACCTTAATCAACGTAAGTTCATCGTCTTTCACTTTCGTTGTTCCCATTCGTTCTTAGACTTTCTCTCCCATTTTTCTTCATGTTTCTCAACGAAACTCGCTTCTGTACGAGCAGAAAAAACCGTGTTTTTCACTCTATAATTGATGGAGTGGTTCTTTGTCTTTTGCGATGCTGATTGGAGTTAGTTCAATGGAGTTTGGATTTCTTGGTGTTTTATCGGCTGTTTTCTCTTTTCTGTGGCTTGGTCTGAGTTTGCATGTCATTTCTGCCGAAGAGCGGTGTGATTAACGGCCGATTAATTTCATCTTGTTTTCTGAAGATTGTTGAAGTTTTTCCTGCCGTACACAGAATAAAATCAGGCATTCTTTTAAATCTTAGTTCTGAGTCATTAACTGTTCATATTAGGAATTCGTGCTTTCGGTTTCTTCTCTTTTGGTTGTATCAGGTTTTTTTAGCTTGATAAATATTTGCTGAACCTGTAATTTATTAGTGTTTGGTCCTTGGTCGTTCCTTGTCTTGTTTAGATGTCAATTCTAGAGGAAGCCTGCTGTAGACTGCAGTATTCGACTTTTTCGCGGTAATCAGTTACCATTTTCATGTAGAATTATTTCTTCCTCCCGCTTCTTTATGTCATCATTCTGAACTTCGATTCTTTGTAGAGAAGCCAAACTACCGGCTAACCGAGACCAAGTCAAAACTCGTGAAATTTGTTCTGTTTGCAGTACCGACCGATTTGTTATACTTGGCTACTAGGTTGGGAAATATGAGTGTTATAAATCCATAGATGGTAGATTACAGAAAATTAGAAATGGACGGGGAATTATGAGAGTGAACTTTTGGTTCGAAAGCTCTTTCTGATTTCACATGTTGATTTCTATCTTTCTTCTTTGTTAGATGGGGGACTGCGAATCAATTATACCAACCTCTGAAGGAGAGCAGCATGTCATAGCTGCATTTCAGCACCTAGCCAAGTTATTAAGAACAAGCCAGAACGTGAATGATGAATTGAAAAGGCTCCTTACCGATCTTGATTCTCATTTGACTTCCATGACTCTGTATACTCATTTACAGGATGGGAAGTTGAATGAGCTAGAATCGAGATTCAAATCTGCTGAGGAGAAGATTAGGAGATGGGAATCTAACGAATCCATGATATGGGATTCTGGACCCAAGGAAGCTTGTGAATATATGAAGGCTGTTGATGAAATTCATAAAGTTCAGGAAGGTCTAATAAGTCTGCCAGTAAATGACGGTAGGAAGCAAAAGGATCTTCTTTGCCAAGCTGAGTCTGTCATACAGTTCGCAATGGCAAGGCTAGAGCAGGAACTAGTCCATATTCTTGCACAAAACAAACTATATTTTGAGCCCAACTGTGTTCCCTTCCAGTCTGGTGGGTATGATGCTGTCTATAACGAGTCCTTTGCTTCAGTTGAGGACAGTTTGGAGGAGGAAACTTCCCAGAGAGAGAGTATTCCTGCTGTATGTATAGTAAACATGGTCCATCCACACGTGATCCCTCATCTTAAATCCATCGCAAATGCTATGTTTACTTCAAATTATATTCAGGAATTCTCCCTGGCTTTTGTTATAATGCGGAAAGATGCGTTGGATGAGTATTTGCTCATTCTCGAAATGGAGAGGCATAGCATCGGTGATTTGCAGACCATGGAGTGGGATGTCTTAAACGTGAAAATCAAGAAATGGATTTGGCTAATTAAAGTTGTTATTCGAGTCTACCTTGCTAGTGAACAAAGACTTTGTAACAATATATTTGAAGGCTTTGGATCTTATAGTGCAACCTGTTTTGCTGAAATTTCAGCAACTTCTATGCTCTGCCTATTGAATTTTGGCGAGGCCATAGCTATGACAACTCGTCGACCGGAAAAGCTGTTTCGCTTGCTTGACATGTACGAGGTCCTGGAAAATCTTCTTGTGGATATCGGTGCATTATTTTCAGAAGATACAGAAATGGGTTCTTTTCTCAAAGCTGAGTTCCATAATCTTTTCATGAAATTAAGTGATTCTGCAAGGGCCACGTTTGTAGATTTTGGAAGTCTCATCGCACGTTCCATATCAACAAGCCCTTTTCCGGGTGGTGGTGTTCATCATCTCACTAAGTATGTTATGAACTACACTAGGACCCTCACTGTCTACAGAGACTCCCTTGTTTTCCTTCTCCGAGATGAAGCAGCAGATAGCTTAGGTCCAGCTTCTGAGCTGCTGAACGAAATCAATAGTATGCCTTGCCCATTGGCTTTCCACCTTCAGTCGATCACTTCACAGTTAATATCCAATCTGAACAACAAATCCAAGTTGTACAATGATGATGCTCTACGACATATTTTTTTAATGAATAACATTCATTATATGATTCAAAAGGTTAAAGGCTCTGAACT